TTTTTTTTTTAACAAGTGCATTGTGCCCCCTCTTAAATAAAATCCTAGCTCCGCCCCTATATATATTGCATTTTTCTTTCTATAAGACAAACAGAAAAAGATAATTCCTTCTATGAAAAAACAGAAAAAGATAATTCCTTTTGAGAAAAAAGTTCGTATATGTGTGTGTGCGTGCGTGTGAAATATTTCATATAACTAATATTCTACTTACTACAAAATACTGCTTGCATAAGTACACGAGTAGGCCTATTGCCCATTGATTAGATTCGTCTTATAGAATAGACTAGTTGCTACCATTTATTCTAATAATATTGTTTTTGAGTATGCTTTTAATGTACAATTGTGGACTCTCCGATTTTATTTTATTTTTTTACTTTGTAGAATCATAATGATAGAAGTTGATGAAACAGAGGAGTTGGATGCTTTTTCCTGTGGACAGTTCACTTGGTGAAAAAAAAAAAAAAAAAACAGAAGAAGAAGAAGAGGAAAGAAAGAAAAAGAAAAAAACGGAGTTTCTTTATGTCCTAAAGTGTCAAAAGATGAGGGAAAAAAGGAAAAAAGAAGAACATGCAGCTAAATGTTTTTTTGGTAGTAATTCAAGTAGGTCTCCGCTTCCTAGTTTACCAATTGTTCCACGATCTTATGCTACCGTAACCAATCCAATGTGTGAACCCGGCACACAAAATATTGATGACTTGTTTCAAATTATCCTCAAGAGAGGAAACAGATAATATAGTTGCTAATAATGCTGCAAAAGGATATAGAGTACCAAATTCTGAGAGAATAAGAACCATATTGCTTGATAAAGAGAGGACCAAGATTGATAATGCATTGATGCTATTAGACATCAGTGGCCAAAATGTGGGGCTTCAATTTTATTAGATGGTTGGTCAAACTACAAGAGTCAGCCACTTAACAATGTATTAGCTGTCTCAGGAGGAAGGCTTGTATTTGTTACAGCAGCTGATTGGTCTAGGGCTGAAAAAACTGCACAATATAGTCTTGAAATTTTGCTCAAGGTTATTGAAATAATGAAAACATAGAGTGTCTCTACAAATTCTAACTAAACATTTTCAGGACAATTTCATAAGTAATTAAGGTGAAAAAAAACTAAATTTGGACACCATTTCGTTGTGCTAGATCGTCTTTCTAGGGTGAAAAAATGCTTTGATAAGTATGGTTTTAACTGAGGAGTGAGACTCACTTAAGAAAGGAAGCTCAAGGTCCAAGCTAGAGCATGATCAGATTATAAAAAATAAATAAATAAATAAATAGTTGGATGAAGAGTTCTGAAAGTATAAAATTTATTCGGTCATCCACGAAACCAATTTGGAAATGATTCGTTTTGTGCACTTACTCCTTTTACTACTTTAACTCTTGGTTGATAAGCGTAGGTCCAAAAGGAAAGAAAATGTTGCAGCCTTGTGCTAATTCATTTGTACAAGGTGCCTATTTGAATGTTGTTGATCGACTTGTGAGAGATCCTCAAGATGCACCTTTAATTCGGTAACAACTTAGTGATTTCACAAGTGTGAAGGTGTTTTTCTCGACCTCAATCAATGAAGATAAAGAAGTGATGAGTGCAGCAGCTTGGAGGAACTTATATGGTGTTGCTGCTCTTGAACTTTATGCTTTAGCAATTAAGGTGTTATCTCAAAGTGTAAACACGTCATGTGCACAGAGAGTATAGAGTACTTATGGGTATATCCCAAGTGTCTAAAGAAATAAATCGAATGTTGATCATGCATGATCATTAATTTAAGTTCATTACAATAATAGATTGTTGACAAGTTAGAGGGAAGAGTATGAGAAGTCTTACAAGAACTGGGATGATATTGCCTATGAAAATGATTTGGAAGACATGGATAAAAGAGAGAAGGTTGCACGCCAATGAGAATGACGCTTCAAGTTCTTCTCTAAATAATGCAACATCTAATACTTCTTTGCCATTTACTCAAGGGGTTAACATGTCTCAAGCAAGCAACAAAAGTAGAAATTTCATGAGGCAAGAGGCCACAGATCAGATTGCTTGCATCAAAACAATCTTTGTTGAAAATTGTGTCTCAAATTCCTATTCTAGTTAGGTTTCCATTTTAGAGTTGTATTCTATTAGGAAATTTTTTGTTAAGCAAGCTTTAAGAAATTGTAATCCTTGTCCAACAAGGAATTGGGTTTGGATCTCTATGAATAAAGATCTAGGTTTTGGGTTGAAACTTATGAGACTGAGAGAGATGTCGTCTCATGAGGGAATTGATGGGTAGAGGTAGTATTGGTAGAGTAAGAGAAACACCAGGTAGCCAGGAGATAGGCTCTTGGAGTGGTACATGATGAAAAGACATGTACGTGGTGTTGGTACTCTATTGTTAGAATATCTCTACGAATCAGAGTGAAATCTCTTCTCATCCGTGGATGTAAGCCGATTTTGGCTGAACCATGTTATATCATATTTTTGTGTATGATTGCTTTGTTGGCATGCCTTGGATCTTATTTGTTCGTGCATTACCGCTGCCTCAACAAATTGATATCAAAGCCGAAGGTGAAGGAGATCCAGAAAATACAAGAAGTCCCAACATGTGTTGCAATGGGTTTCAATTGTAGGTGGAGTTAATCGGCTTGGTTGATCATGATGGTTAGAAAATCGTGATGGGTTACATGGCATGGAGCTCTTTGACGAATCGAGTAACGTACATTGTGGACAATGATAGTTTTTGCAAAAGGATCGTCATGATTAAAGCTACAATGAATTGTCGTGATCAATGTCGTGGGAAGTGATGATTGGCTGGATGGAATTTGAGTCAAGGTGGAGATTATTAGAAATTGTGTCTCAAATTCCTATTCTAATTTTTTTTTTTTTTTTTCTTCCTAGTTGGGACTCACACACATTGCCTCCACTGAGGTTCGAATCCCTAACCTCCCTTTGGGAAGTAAGAGCCTTGCACCGCTGAGCCACAGGCCAATTAGGTTTCTATTTTAGAGTTGTATTCTATTAGGAAATTTCTTGTTAAGCAAGCTTTAAGAAATTGAAATCCTTGTCCAACAAGGATTGGGTTTGGAACTCTATAAATACATATCTAGGTTATGGGTTGAGACTTATAAGATTGAGAGAGATGTAGTCTCATGAGGGAGTTGATGGGTAGGTAGTATGTGAGTTGGTATTGTAGGAGAAAACACTGGTAGCGAGGAGATACGCTCGTGGAGTGGTATATAGTGAAAAGACATGTACGCAGTGTTGGTACTCTATTGTTGTTATATCTTTACGACTCATAGTGGAATCTCTTCTCATCCTTGGATGTAAGCCCGTTTTGGCTGAACCACGTTATATGCTTGTGTGTGATTGCTTTGTTGGCATTCCCTGAATCTTATTTGTTCGTGCGTTTCCACTGCCTCAACAATCATTCTAGCATTTTTTTTTTTTTTTTTTTTTTTTGAGTAGTCTCATCTTGCTTTTGAGTAAGAAAGTTGGAATAGATTTATGTTTGTTTTAAATAGAATTTATAAAGTGAAATCCTCTTGTCCTTTTCTTTTTTTTTTTTGAAGATTGTTATTTCGTAGTCAATTATTATCATTTTCAGGATTAATGCTCCTTTTGGTAGGAGGGATGAAAAAATCGATGAAAGGGAGAGGGGGAGGGAGGGATGAGGCATCCCTAGGGAAGGGAAGGTGTCTCCCTCATTTTTTATTTGGTTGAATGGGAGGGATGGTGGAATGGATGAATGAGGTGGCACATTTTTTTTGTTCAATTGGAAGGAAGGGGAGGAAAGGTTTTATGTTCTTTTACTAATACACCCTCATTATATAGACTAATAAAAAATATATATATTCATTCCAAATTATTATATCCTAAGAAAAATTATTGAGCTTGTTGTCAAACAAAAACTCGTAAATCAATTTGCTACAATGCTCTAAACAAAATTTGAGTTAACAAAGTAATTTTGCAAATAATTGAAGGGTAAAAATGGAATTCCATATTCATGCAGTAGTTTTTCTTTCTTTCCCTCCTCTCTTCCGTATAATTTTGGAGGGATGAAAAAACGCGAGTCACAAAGAATGTTTCATTTCTTCTTGCTTCCTCCCTTTCTTCCCTTCCTTCCAACCAATGGAAGCATCTTTCATCCTTCCTCTCTTCCATTGTTCCTCATTCCTTCTTTCCGACCAAACAAGGCATAAAGCATGTATCTAATTGATGAAAGAAGGCTAGTTATTTTATTATCTTCATGTCTAATCATTTCTATTATTTAGATTCACTACTATATTTTTTGTGCATGAACTGTGTTTTTTCCCCCAAAAAATAAAATACTTGCTATCTTACATGAATACTTGTAGCATGGCGCTCTTGCGGCACTTCCGCTCTAATACGTAGCTAAGTCACCTAGATCGGGAGTGGCTTATTCCAAAGAACTATTAGAGCGGGAGTGCCGCAAGAGCACCATGCTATAAGTATTCATGTAAGATAGCAAGTATTTTATTTTTGGGGAAAAAAAACAACAGTCCATAAATTCAAAAGCCCCCGAATGCATAAACAAAAACACAAACCAATTGAAAATTGACCTGAACAAATAATTTACACAAACAGTTCTGTCAACAAACATATTGAAAAACCAAACAAATGTACAATACGTCATCCAAATCAACCTAGAGAGACACGGAACTTTTATATGATCAAAGCAAATACAAAATCATACCCTATTGAAGTTTATAGATATTAACTAACATAACTTAAACTTCAAATATTCGAGTCCATATATTGAGAGAGTCATAAAATGGGACAATGTTCATAATGTGATCAGATAACTACCGATTGATATTTGAGAGAGAGAATTAAAAAGTGGATGTAGCTGAAAGTTTTAGGAGTCGTAAGGCCAATGGGCAAAATTAGGGTTAGGGTTTTGAATAAGTCCATAACAGGTATGCTAGAGCTGAATGACGTATATACATATATATATATATATATATATATATATATATATATAGAGAGAGAGAGAGAGAGAGAGAGAGAGTACCTGAAGAGAGCTGAGTTGAGAGTGGAGGTGGAACCGAACAAGCCGATCGCGAGGTCAATAGCCGAAGAGGGTGATCGGAGATTCGGAGTGATTCATGACTCATGAGATATAACGAGGCTTTATTTCGGATCCACAGTTTTGGGCCACTGAGTCCACGAATGAATTTGGGCATTCGAAATTCGTGGGCCCTAAAGGTATCAATATATGCATTCCGTATATGCACCTTCACATACATCATCAAATCACATCGTAAATGCACTCCAAAACATCACATGCATCATATTGCATTCATTAATGCGTGAGTGTGTATATATATATATATGCATTTAATAATACATTCAAAAATCCAAGAGGAACGGACAAATCACTTATCCGAACCGTAGAGGAGATCGAAACCCCCGACCTTTTAGAGAGCGTTCAATGTATCACAAATAAAATATACACTATGCTTCTAGGATTGGTCTTGTTTTTAGAGTCTTATATATATTATGCTTCTAGGATTGGTCTTGTTTTTAGAGTCTTACTTCTATAAATAAAATATTTTGTTCTTTTATTTTATTTTTTTTGTCCCTCTAAATTGATTAATACTTCACTTTTTAGTTGCTATCCACGAGGACTTTGTCGCCCAATGGTATCTCTTTTATTTTTCAAAATGAATGGTTAAGGTTCAATTAAGTTTTCAAAGAAACAAAATGAGTGTGTAAAGAAAATTTCTTTAAAATTAATTGAGATATTAATTTTTTTTTTTTAAGGTATGTTATTAATTCATTTTTATTATTTATGATTTGTAAGATTAAATGATCCACAATATTGATTTTTAACCACGTGCATTTGCATGTGCTTTTTATCGTCCTTTAAAAAAGTTGGTGTCTAGGTATAAAGGTGAGCGTTTGCCCATTTACTCAAAAAATTCAAACTGTTGGGTAGTATTGTATACCCACTCATTTATACCAAAATACTTTTTCATCTGCATCCGATGTGGGACAAATGACCCTTGAGGTTGTAAACCCGAAAGGCCCCTGGACGGTGCGCTCGGTGTGACACCAAATCAAGGATTGAGTTTGGTTCTGATACTAACTGTAACGGGTGGACGCTTACCCATTTATTTAAAAGTTCAAATTGTTGGGTAGTGATGTATACCCACCCATTTATACCCAATCGTTTTTTTATTTGGATTCGATGTGGGACAAATGACCCTTGTTATAATAGGGCTATTGTTGATCGGAGCGTGAATTTAGTGTGTTCCTGTGTTCTAAAATTCTAATTTAAAAACCTAAATTATATAATTTAGGGAAGAATTAGATAGAAAATACAAATTTTTAAAATAAAAAGATAAATTAATTAAAATACATTATAAATAAATAATAAAAAAAACATAAGGTATGAAACTCATTCACCCTATACATATAGATATGTAGTGAAATCTACTACTGCGGGTCCGGCGGATCGTGAGATTGGAATCACCTAGCGTGGATGCGCGTATAGGATTTTTTTAATTTTTGTTTACTATTCACGGTACTCCTCCTCACTTCAACTCCTCTCCAGGATGTGACACCCTTTGGATAGCTCCTCCACATGGTAGCTCTCTTTTACATGCCGTTCCAAAAAAGTCCGACCCCAAGATTCTTTGTCAATAATAATACTACCATATACTACCATGAACTTAGCCAATAATAAAGTGTTAAACCATATCATTTGGTTCTTCACCCCAACACTGGAATGGAGTCCACGCCACCCATCTACTGCCTCAAGCTCCTCCTCTTCCTCTCCGTCCTCCTCCACCACCACTTCCCAACCATATCATCAGCCACTTCAACCCCCCTCCTCCCCCAAGATGCCCTCCCCACAAAATCCGGTTACCTCCCGGTCAATTCGACAACCGGTTCAGCCATTTTCTACACCTTCTATGAAGCCCAAACGCCCAATTCACCTCTCTCTAAAACCCCACTTCTCATTTGGCTCCAAGGAGGCCCTGGCTGCTCCTCCATGCTAGGCAACTTCTACGAGCTCGGCCCATGGCGTCTCTCTTCTCACAAGCAAAACGTCGAACACCTTGCGCTCGAACCCAATTCGGGCTCTTGGAACCGATTGTTCGGCCTCCTTTTCCTTGATAATCCAATTGGGACAGGTTTTAGCATCGCATCGACACCCGAGGAAATCCCAAGAGACCAACACGGTGTTGCCAAGCATCTTTTCACCGCGATCACGTCGTTTGTCGCCTTAGACCCATCTTTCAAACTGCGTCCGATATACATTACGGGAGAAAGTTATGCCGGAAAATATGTTCCGGCAATTGGGTACTACATTCTGAAGAAGAACGCACAATTGCCGGCATTGAAGCAGGTGAATTTGGCCGGTGTCGCCATAGGGAACGGATTGACTGACCCGGTGACACAAGTGGCCACTCATGCTGTGAATGCTTACTTTTCTGGATTGATCAATCAGAAGCAGAAGACCCAGTTGGAGGAACTTCAAAATGAAGCTGTTAAACTGACCAAAATTGGTAATTGGAGTGTGGCAACAAATGCAAGAAACAGAGTGTTGAATATGTTGCAAAACATGACAGGACTGGCCACTTTGTATGACTTCAGAAGGCTTGTTCCTTATGAAACTAGCCTAGTCAGCAAATTTTTGGCCAATGTGGAGGTGAAGAAGGCGTTGGGGGTCAACACATCGATGGTTTACGAGGAATGCAGTGATGTCGTGGGGGCGGCATTGCACGAAGATGTGATGAAGAGTGTGAAATACATGGTGGAGTTTTTGGTCAGGAACACTAAGGTGTTGTTGTACCAAGGGCATTGTGATTTGAGAGATGGTGTGGTGTCGACTGAGGCTTGGGTGAAGAAAATGAAGTGGGAGGGAATTGGGAAGTTTAAGGAAGCCGAGCGAAAGGTATGGAAAGTGAATGGATTGCTTGCTGGGTATGTGCAGAAATGGGGGAGCTTGAGCCATGTTGTGGTGTTAGGAGCTGGGCATCTTGTGCCTACCGACCAGGCGGTCAATTCTCAGGCAATGATAGAAGACTGGGTTCTGGAGAGAGCATTGTTTGCCGGTGAACAGATTGGGAATCCGTCTGCAAACTTCCGCGGTGCACTTTGAAATTTGACTACTTGTTGTATCTGTTCTTCTTGTTGTATCAACTTGTTAGCAATTATTAGTCATGGGCAGGCCAAGAAAAATGGAGATCATGAAGTTTGGCATTTGTAGTGAGAAATAAAAACCCATGCTTTTAGTAACTGGAAATGGAATTGATTTGGAGGATTCAGTCTCTTTTGGTTTACCTACTGCTATGATAATTTGCTTTTTTTGCATTCTTATCTTACTTTTCATTGGTAAGAGAGTTGATGGATCACAATGATGCAATTGCAAAAAAACAGATTCATGTTACTATGAATTTACTCTGTCTGAGAACAAATTCATGTCCTCTATTCAATTCTTGTCTCATTTACTATTGCGAAAAACAGATTCATTTATGATTTTAGAAGGGTTACTGTTTTACACAATTCTATCTGTTTCTCTTTATCATCAACTGCAATAAACCACGTAGCATTCTTTTCTCACTTTTCATTAATAGGAGACATGCAGGATTGATGTAAATCTTAAAAGGCATCAAATATGATCCCGGAAATCGCGAAAAACAAATTCATCTCAATGGGAATATGTTTGTGTCCGATAACATATTCAAGTCTTCCATCCATTTCCTTATCTCATTTTAGGGAGTGAGTCAGAGACAATGTTTATGATTGTTGGTAATTTTGCCTTCATTTATTTGTTCTGTGCATCTGCTGCTATTGCAAGAAATGATCTACTACTCACTGCAAAAAAGAAGATGAAGCTACTTTGGTGTCAACATTGTGTTTGACACTTTTTGAGGATTTGGGATAATCTTAGCATCAGCTGAAATGTAATCGTATCTAACTAATCCCACAGACGACGCTAGTTTTATTTCATGACGAGGACTTTTTTGGATTAGGTTCATTTTATCCACACTTTTTGTATATTTATAATTGAGATCAGTTTTTTTTTTTTTTTTAATTAATTCTTAATTTACGGTATATTATTCTTTTGGTTTGATATAATGAATGAGAAAAGAAAGGAAATAAAAAATTTTGAAATTTTTTAGGAGTTTGGTTAGATAAAAAAAGAAAAGTTCTGAAAAATTAAGATTCTCGTATGTGGAGGGAAAAATCCCCTTACCAATAAAAATCAGCCACGTCATTAAAAGAGTCACCATCTCTCTATTTCGGTCTACTAGCCCTCAAGAGCCCAATATTGATCATGCCCAATAAAATCATCAACAGCCCAAAGGTATTCGTGACAGCCTCTTGAGCTACCATAAGACCAATCCAACCCACTCATATTATGATCCAAAAAATGGTCTGGATTAATCAATTCCTGCATAGAAAAGAATCCTATATGGAAAGAAGCTCTGCATGGGAAAAATTCTTCATGGAAAGAATTGTAGAAGGAAAGAACCCTGTATGTAAGAAATTGTATATGGAATGAATTCTTTATGGAAGAAAAGTGGATGACAAGCATAGCGAATCCTACCATAATTCTACTTCAATTTGTGTATAAATAGATGCACAGACCTCCAATAAAAATTATCAAGCATTACAAACTTTTCTCTGAATTGTTCTTTTATTTGAGTGAGTTGTATTTATTCTTTTGGCTTTTTAGTTAAATGGATTTTTGCACCTACACTTTGGCGCTGTCTGTGGGAAACGTATAGAAATATATCCCCACAAGTGATTAGAGATTTTTTATGCGACTACGATCCAGGATGTCAATCGGAGGAGCCGCAGCTGATCAACAGATGGAAGTAATGCAAAAGATGCGAGAAGAGTTCTTGCAGCAGTTCGAGGCTCCTCGTCAAGCAAACAAGGCCAATACGGCTCAGATCGCATTACTTGAACAAAGGAATGATACTCTCCAAACAGCCATGGAGTAGACAGCAGCACAATCGCCACCAGGCAATGCAACAGGAGTCCCCCTCAACCACAATTTTCCCCCTGCAGACGAAGCTCAAGCCAACGAGAGTCGGCAGGAGCAGAGGACAAGAACTGAGGCAGTAGCCTCGGACAACCACCCTCATTGCACACCAGACGAACAGGCTGAATCTAGCCGCAAGCTCAAGGTATGGACAAATGGCGTTCAAGATGGCGTCCAAGAGGTCTTTGATGAAAAGAAACTCTTAAGGATCCAGACACCTACTGAGATAGCCAAGCAGTATAAGGCCTCTTTGGTGAAAACACCATTCACTGATTAGATATACTATGTTGAAATACCTAAGAAATTCACCATGCTAGCCTTCACTCAGTTTGATGGCACAGGAGATCCTTCCCGTCAGCTCGATTACTACTCCCAGAAGATGGCTCTGGATAACCATAATGATATATTCATGTGCAAAGTTTTCTTAACTAGCTTGACAAGAGCCGCACTAGAGTGGTTCAAGAATAGGCCCCACAAATCAATCCCGAACTACGAAACTTTATGCGCTATGTCCCTAGCACAATATTACGACAATAAGAAGCAAAAAAAGACTATCGCTAGTCTCTTCACTATAAGGCAGAGGAGAGGAGAAACTTTATAGGATTTCCTGTCCAGATATAACATAGAAGCTTCGGAGATAGCGGATTGTCACCCTGTAAAAATTGTGGAAGCGTTCAAGATCGGTATGATCCAGGGGACCAAGTTCCATAACTCTATAGTCAAATACTCCCTTTTGGACATGCAGACTCTTAATGCCAGGGTGCAAGTTTACATCCAACTCGAGGAGAATGTAGCCAACAGAGCACAACATGCCACCCTCATTACGGTAGAAATAAGCCTCGGGAAAGAGCCTCAAGTTTAAAAAATCAAAGAAGTCAGCATGCCTCGCTACCAACCATCCAACTATCTGAGAAAAGGCAAAGAACCGAGGAAAGGCTAACCCCTCTCCGTACAACTTTGGCCCGGCTATTCCAGGAAAATAAAGTAAAATTCATAGTCCCTCAACCGATGCGACAACCTCTGGAGCAAAGGGACAAAAGCAAACATTACCACATGGATTATGGACATACCACTAATAATTACAGGTCCTTACGGCGACACGTGGAAACTATGATAACCAAAGGAGACCTAACAGACTATCTTGGGCCGAAGGAGCGGACAAGGCCGAGGGAAGTAAATCCTCAGAAATTGGAAGGCAATCAAGTGAAGGTTATCTACATAATACATGGGAAGTCAGAGGAAGATCAAAAGTCAGAAGAGGTGTACCGTTTCAGATTGAGGGCTATCCACAGGTTAAGGAAGTTATCCTCAATAAATACCATCACTTCAGGCAGTATCAGTATTGGGTTCGGAGATGAAGATCTGTCTAGAGTACAGCTTCCCCATGAAGATCCACTCGTCATTAGTCTTCTGGTAGCAAACTGCATGATTAAAAGGGTCCTGGTTGACCCTAGAAGCAGTGCCAATATTATAACTAAGACAGTCTTTGAGCAATTAAAGATCCCATCATCATCAATTAGAGTTACCTCTAGCCCTCTGATGGGATTCGATGGAACAAAGGTAGATCCCATTGGGATAATAGATTTATCAGTTATTGCTGCGAAGAGGACATTGAAGGAGAACTTCGTTCTAACAGAAATTCATCATTCCTACAATCTCATCATGGGAAAAGGGTGGATTCACCAAATGAATGGAGTACCATCTACTTTGTATCAGGTGATGTGATGCTTGTCTCCAGATGGAAAAATCTTTGGGGAAATCAAGCTGTAACAAATGAATACTATGTATTGACATTAAAAGGAACAAAGAAAGGAATTACAGTACCTAAATTGGATGCATCTTCTAAGGGAGCCGCTAAATAGCAATTATAGAACCTTCTGCCTAAGTATTTGGAGGCAGAAGCAGAAGCAACAAAAACCATTGAAGAATCTCTTGAGGTTGTCGAAGTTATCCTCGGCAATCCACAAAATTAGTCACTTATATGGGTTTCTCCCATTCATCAGAAGAGAGGGAGGTGTTGATTAATGTCATCTGAAGAAATACGGATGCGTTCGCCTGGATCCATTCGGACATGCAGGGGATCAACCCTTTGGTCTCATGTCATAGCCTAAAAGTGGATCCCTCATTCAGACCAGTCAAACAAAAACATAGAAGGTTCGCTCTTGAAAGAAATCGAATCATTACTGAAGAAGTAGACAAGTTGCTTCAAGCAGGCTTCATCAGAGAAGTACATTACCCTTAATGGCTTTTGACCGTGGTGGGGTCCAAAAGAAGAATGAAAAGTGGAGAGTTTGTATAGATTTCACCAACCTCAATAAGGCTTATCCCAAAGATAGTTTTCCACTACCGAAGATTGTGATACCCCCGGATTTCCGGATGCGGGTTGGCCAGGCCCACGCTCGATTACCCGAGGATATCAAACTAATTAGCAATAAACAAACACAGAATACAAATAAGGAAACAGGAATAAATAAAAATTTGCTGAAAAGAAACTAGAATGATAATCCAAATACTAAAACCTTAGAATAAAATTAAATTAATAAAGAATTATTCTGATACATCCAAATTCTCCATTTCTAATACAACTTGGAAATCTATCTGGTGGACCCCTAAAAACTCGAACACTGAAATCATCAACTGAAGAACTCCACTGCTAAAATATGAAGAAGCTCCTACGTCGTCGGAAGAATGAGAAACCGTCTCTGCTCAGCATGAACAAGATCTAAGACCTGGAACCATCCGTTACCTGAAAAAATAATAGTGGGTCAGGCCCACGAACAAGTTCTATCCTAACTACAATCCAAACAGAGACCCGATACGCAGATACATCCTAGATGTCTCAACCATATCTATATAGTCCGTTAGGTAAATATATATCCACACTACAGGACTCTCACTGAACTATGCTGAGGGTCTCAACCTGAATAGAAGGCAACATGCAATACGCACCTGAGTGGGCATGACTACCTAAGCCTAACAGGGTATACCTCAACCAACATAGCTAGCTACGCATCCTACTGCATATACGCACCCTAACCATCGACTATGAGACTCAAGCTCAGACTGCGGTACCATAATTTATATATATAAATTCCCATCCAAACTAATGTAGTGTCGCTTAACTATTCGTTGCCATGACACAACATAAAATTAGGATTTAAATGTTTTAATTAAATCCCTATCCCAATTATATATATAAGTTCCCTCCAAGTACAATGTGGTGCCGGTCAACAGTTCATTGCTCAAGAAACAACATGTAATCAGGATTTAAATGTTTTAGTTAAAACCCTATCATTTCTAATATAGATATATAAATAAT